CCCAAAACCCCAAAACCCCAAAACCCCAAAACCCCTTCTTCAATGCTATTTTTTGAGATTTCTATTAAATATTATTTGTATCAAAAATGCAGAATTTCAGCAGAAGAGATTATCGAAGGACCGCCCAGTCCAGCCTCCAAATCTCCAGAAACCACAACCTAGGCACTCAGGCTCAAAATCGGTTAACCACTGTGGGTGCTAGGAAGCCTCAAAGAGGCAAATCTGTTATGAATCATGCGATCCAAGGATCTTTTGATGAAAGAGACCTGAGAGATATTCAAGGCAAGAATTATGCCAAGTCTTCACTTATGGTACGAAATTCAGGATATCCAAATCCTTAGTTTTAATTCGAAAGAGTGAGACATACGGATAGAACTTTATACCCGGGCTGTGTTTTAGAAAGAACATGTAGTAGATTTCTAATCAATGCTGAACCAAGCTGCTACGATAGACTTAAGAGTCAGTGTTTATGGGAAGGCACCAATTCTGGGTCCCAAACCTTGGCTGATTCCTACTTCTTTCATCATATTTTCGCAGCTGAAGAAAGCTTTTTAGGTGTTAAAATTATAGAAAACAAAATCTTCCAAAAAGAGGAAATAAGGACTACCTAGCATTACTGAAAGTCATTCAGAAGAGCAGTGAGGCAGATAAGTACCTTGAATCCTTGGACTACGTGACTGTCAAGTCAGCAACCTGGGCTAGAGACTCTTTCTGTCTTTTTGATTTTGAATCAAGGCATTATATTCACTCTGAATTCTATTTCAAGAATTCAGGATTTCTAGGGTAAAAAAATCAGCCTTTATGATTCTAGGATCACAGACTCTGACCATATACAATTCATGCTATCTAAGTCGCAAGAAGTTAACCAAAACTCAGTTGAAAGTATGGATCCCGAGAATAGATCCCTAAAAGCTTTAGTTTCAATTATCAAATTTAGGGATAAATACTACTGCTTTAGTTCCGATCGTTCCCCTGACTCCAAAAAGAAACAACTTTGGAGAGTAGCTACTCGCAGTCCTAGCAACAGGTAAGGGACACTCTAACTCTACAGCACTGCTCCGAGCGGAATTCTTCTAAAGAAAGGAATGCAGGTCAGATTTGGGAAAATTCAGTATAAAATAAAATACATCTCGACCATACCCAACAAGGATATCCCTAAAAATAAACTAAAATAAGAGCAAAACAAAAATTGTGCCAATTAATGACCCAGATAGGGAGAATCTTCATCATGGAGACGAGGAATCTAAGATGATGCAGGAGTCTCTTGCTAACAACTCTGCAATGGCAATCACCTTTGACCATGAGCTGAACACTAACAGATCTTCACATCAAGTAAAATAAGTTTTTAGACGTTTTAGAAAACTCAACCAAATCTTAACCGTGGCTTTGAAGAGGAACACAAGAGTGGCAACACTCCAAATGATCTCTACAGACTCAACGAGGCGAAACCGAAAGATTTGGAGCTATCAATAGACCATACCAACATTCCTCCAGTTGAGATAGATAATTTCATTCCTTTAAAAGCAGATTGTAGGATCTGACTCCAGGAAGGCCAAATAATCTCACAAGAGGATCAAGACCCTCTTGACGAGTCAATCCTTGTTTGAACTCCCTGTAATTGCCAAGGCTATATTCATGTGGAATGTCTGAGACAGTGGCTAAAAGTGCATAGGAAGGTGGTATACTCCTCAGAAGTATGAACCTCCTACATCTGGGACAACATTAGGTGAGAAATATGCCGAAATCCCTACCCAGATTATATCTACTGAAGCCTGAAAGATCCCAGGAAGTACAAATAAAGTGAGACTTCTAGACCTCGAGGATATCGAAATGGTAGACGATAACAGGATCGTCAATATCGAAATCGAAGATCTCAAGAATTTAGCTCCACTAGAGAACAATCAGCCATATGATTACCTCATCTTAGAAGGTTATAAGAGCATCAAGGAGGACTTTGACATCAAAATGTAAGCTTGTAATCATACATAGCCGGAAATACATCCATGTTATTAAATTTACGAAGAAACTCACATATGCAAAGATCGGGAGAGGTAGTGAAGCGAATATGAGAATAATCCATTCCACAGTTTCTAGAGTTCATGGGGTTATCTCATATAGAAACTCACAAATGCATATCAGAGATTTAGGGTCAAAATTTGGCACCCTTGTGCTCTGAAATTAAACCGTTTGAGTTAAAGCCAGATATTGAAAATTACATCCAAGTTGGAAGGACTTTGATGAATATCACCCTAATCAAGCACAGATGGCATTGATGAGCATCTACTCGAAAGGGCATTCTCAGAGGATTTCATTATTACCAATACCTCAAAATGGCTAAGAATGTGAAAGAATTTCCTCCTCAATATTTAGATGTGATTGACGAGGATTTTAACCTATTAGATGCCTTAAAGGCTCAAGAAGATACTGAAAATAATAAGACGAATGATAAGAGATCAGAGACTGACAAAATAGAGCTTACTAAATCACAGTTGTTGAATAACCGTGATATAATGGAGAGTGTCATGAGTGAAGTGAAGCTGAAGAAAAAGCTAAGGCCAAAAATAGCCGAGCCGGTGAGGTCGATCTCAAGAAGTTACTCTCAAGTTTCAAGGATGGCAGCTAACAGAAGTAGTAGTCATTCTGTATCTCCTGGTCTTGCTACCATCACAGAATCTAATATAGCAAGGTTGAATTCCAATATGAGGAGTAAGCTTGAACTTAACTACCTTCTTTGAATGTATCTCATATAATTTAGGAGTAAACCCGATAATATATAGAAACGGAAGCTCGATACAATCTTTTTCAGATGAAGAAGCTGACGAAGAGTCTCCTGTATATACTTTCCAGCCCTAGCTCAGCTTCACACTTCTTGTGTTAAATTCAACAGTTTAGTTGAACTTTGGGGTTTTGGGGTTTTGGGGTTTTGGGGTTTTGGGG